GTATTATTATTATTATGGAAATAATGATTAAGTCTTTTATGATATTATAGTAGAGGAAATAAAATCTGACAGGATATCCATTTTTTTTTTAATGTGAGAATCATATCATTAAAATTAGCCTGTTTGAAGCGAGAATGAGGTAACGAAATAATTCTATCTACTACCCTTGTAATAATATCTCTTTTGTGACATAATGGATGGTGAAAATGAAAATTAAGAAATCTGCTTGAGAACGTCGGTTTATGAAAACTATTGGAAATAATTCTGTGATCTCTCTCGTCGACAACAATAGTAGTATCCAAAAAATCGATTCTGCCATATTCATCGATTTCCATGGTAAATTGTAATTTATTAGATTATTATACAGAATAAATTATATTAAAAGAATTAAGTTTAAAATATCATTCAAAGTGTCAGATCGGGCTGCCAATAAGACGTCATCCACGTATCAAAAATAAAACAATGGTTGTATAGAGAGTTTTTTCAATGGCGAAAGATTCCAAGTCTATTTTAGCTATTATGGGGGAGATAATGGTGACTCCATGGGTGTGCCAAAAATTTGTTTGTAGAATTTATTATCAAAGGAAAAATTTCTTTAATAATAAATTCTCCTTTAAATAAAGGAGAAATATAGTTTTAGAGAGAGAGAGAGAGAGAGAGAGAGAGAGAGAGAGAGAGAGAGAGAGAGAGAGAGAGAGAGAGAGAGAGAGAGAGAGAGAGAGAGAGAGAGAGAGAGAGAGAGAGAGAGAGAGAGAGAGAGAGAGAGAGAGAGAGAGAGAGAGAGAGAGCAGACAGTTACACATTTCTATTAAACGACAGTATAATTCAATGTTAAATTAAATTCAGAATGTTAAGCGTTGACCTGTAATTATCATACAAGGGATTTCTGTCGGTTCCCTTTATTCCTTTTATTTATAATACCCGCAGGATTGCAACAGAAGCGGTACCGCGATGAGAATTTCGAGAGCACCATCTCCGTTTTCGAGCACAAGCAGGCGTCACGTTAAGTTTCGACGCGTAATCGCACGGCTGGAAGTACGATGGCTGCGGGCGCCGTGGCCGTTATTATTTTAGGACGATGAGAGGGAAGCCCTGAGGGCGACCTTAAGATTACCTAATCAAAAGTTTCTACGGTTTCCGACACGTGCCTTGCCAATACGTCAAAGCGAATGCAAGAATCGTACCGATCTGACATTCCGGAAACGTGTCGGGTTTTCTACTACGAATAAAAGATTAGAGCGTGACACACGCACGCAATAAATAAAATATCGAAGCAATAGTTCCGATCTAGGCGTATTTTTCTTAATTCGTTAAAAATGATTAAAAATTATTACAGTTGTTAAAAATTTAATTGTTTATCATACCGATAATAAATTCAGTAATAAATATTATTTTCTTGAATTTCACAAATAATAATTTTGACGTATCTATGTAACACAAATTTTCTCTCATGCTTTATAGCTATAAAATTGCACGATAAAATCCTTCTCTTTATTGCAAAATATATTTTATGCCTCGTGAAAGAGAATTCAATTGAAGCATGGTTTTAAGATAAGACGCGAGGGTCTCTTAAAAGAGAGACAATACCCTTCCACGCAGTTAACTTTAAGTAGCCGATTGAAATGAATCTCAGTTGCCGAAGAGCATTTGTGGATGAATTTCAGTTGCCGCGCAATCAATTATGAATGAAGCCGGGTGCTCTCTTAAAAGCAATCTAAAGATCTCGATTTTCAGATGGCCGGTTTTAGTTTATTACACAAGAAGCGCACTCGCAATTAAGGATGATAATAAACACCGTTTATGGTAAACCGCTTGATTTCGTGTTAAACTGCGATATACTACATAACAGGGCTAGAGGGAAATTCTGGGAGGAAATGGATACGCTCAACAATGCTACTTGAATAAGCGTATACGTCAGCGGATGTATGTATAACAACGGCAATAATAACTCACGCCATATGAATTACACAGAGTGGGAAATTAGGTCCCGTAAATATCGCGCGTAATCAAAAACCGATGGATTAAATTAAATATAACATGATAATTATAATTACAATAAAACATAAATTTTATCGCGAGACAATACAAATAATTTAATTCGCATAAAACATTTACTTGGTATTATGTGTAAATTATAACTTTTTCGTCTGGTGTAATTTCTGGAAGTATACCAATAATTCGTATAGGTAATAAGTTAACAAAATAGCATAATAATAATGTGTAATTTATCAAATAAACATTAATTAGTAATTTTATGAATTAGGAGCTAAATTTCTTGGCTGTACGAACTTTTACTTTTTGAGCGTCCAAACAATACGTACTATTTTTAATTTTTGCTTATTTTTAACATAATATATTTTCTGTAATTGATATACATCTTTTTGAGAAACATAGAGTTGATTTTATTCTTTATGAATAAATTGTTGATTACTCAGCAAAAAATGACCATCAATTAGATGTCGAATTGATGTCAAATTGCAGTTGAAATAATCGTAACGATATCAGTTTAAGATCAATTCGAGGATTCATTTTTTGCTGGATAATGATTACTTTTTAAAAATAAGGTTTCTTTAAAAAAATATTTTCTCTGTACGAGTATTTTTTGTATACTCACTGTATACTACAAAATAATTGCTAAAATGTTAACAATGTTTTTTGCAGCATTGTTGCTTAAGCGTTCTATAATATACATAATTAATTTTGATGATTCAACAAAATTATTTATATATCAAGCTAAATTTTTTAGATATTCAGCAAAACCATTCTTTCCATGTTAGAGGATTCATTTTGTTTAAAATGCACGTTTATTTAATCATCGATAAGATAGATGTGATAACCGGGTAATACAATGTAATAGTCATGTACGGTCCTGGTATTATCCCGCGAATGAAATTACGGCGATTTTCAAGCGAGTATGGTGGAAGGAAAACAGACGTGACGAGAAAATTTAACGGCGGACACGGGCCGGCTCCGTTGCAAACGATCTTTAGCGTACCCGTAAATTAGCGAATCCACGTGACACGCAATTTCAATCCTCGATACACCGTAATTCTGTTAGATTTCCGTACACAAATCCAGAACGCTAATTACCGCATTTCGCGTGCGTTTGTTCCCGTTATTCCCCATGGTGCCTCCCGTAAAATCCGATAATCTTGCAACCAATGCGCAAGTTTCCGCGATATCTACTGTATCGAACTGACCGAATGTTTACTATTTTTAATTTTAAATAAGAAATTCAAGCCATTTCAAGAATATCTCAAATTAAAACAGAATTACTTATTTTTATACAAACGCAAACAAATTATCTGTAATGTAATAATCTGTAATCTTTTCGATAAGAAGATATATATATAATATATAGGTAGATATACGTAAGATTAGAATTTTCAATGAAAAGATATATGCAGATTACTTTTTTACATTAATAGGTGCGTTCGGCAATGCAATTTGGAGGCATCCATTTGCACCTCGAAAATCGTTCGATAACTTGTATCTTTCTACTACATGTCATCTCATCTGCGTTCGGTATTAATATTTCTAAAACTAATCGAGCTCCCTAATCTTTACCCTGTGAATCGAAATATTAAACGTTAAAGTCAATGGTTATTCAAGTTAGGAAAAACGTCACAGCAATGGTTCAAAAACACAAATTTCTGCATTAAAAACAAATACTTTGCTAGAACAGTAAGTTCATGTTTTAAAAACAATACTTCATTACTGTGACAGATTTTCTAATCTGAATAGTTGTCGACTTTAATTCATTAATATCTCAGTTCACAGGGCAGAGCAACGCTTTTTTTTCTTGTCAAGACTTTATTTTTACGTGAAAACATATCGATTGAGTGCATTTTTGTTAAAATTTAAGGCGGCCGGGATCTTCTTAACATTTACCATAACCTTAATTGACATTATGACAGCAGCTCTGTATTGTTCAAAATTAATTTTCGACACTCGGTTTGCTCGAAGATCACGTGATCAAGCTCACCATCTGCTGGCTCGCATCTCAGATTTACATTGCTGAGAGCATCTAATATAAAAGTGGATAATGTTTTAATTTGAAGTATTTCTGAAATAGTTTGAGTCTCTCATTTACGATTAAAAATAGGCTCTTGATTGTTTAGTCAATCAGCGAATACTTTCATTAAAAATACATAGGTATAATACGATAAGAATAATATCATAAAGCGTGACAACTTTTTTTTTATAAGTTCTCAACGTTATATTCTCAATTTCTTTCTTTTCAATTTACCTTCAATTCAATTAACTGGATCATAACAACATATCACTCATAATTTCATTTCCGTTTCTTAATGTCTTCTTGTTAATTCTCCCTTAACCCAGTTAATTACATATATTTCGACAGTTAAGTCGCAATGTCGCGTCGTTAGCTATAACTTTTAACGAAGCACTTCCGGACATGCACCGCGCGCGCAAGTCGAACTTCTGACTTATCTTGCCCAAAGTCTTAAGCCTTAAAGCCGCTGTACCGGTTTGCCCGGGTACTTCAAAGGCACTGTATCTCCCGGACAAGCGGCGGTGGCTCAGCATAATAGACACTTTAGACATGTGCCTGAGGGGGTTGGTCCCTGAGGGCGTGCTTGAGTGTCAAAGGCCATATAAGGTATTAAAAAAAAGTATTAAAAGAGAAATAATTTTATATAAAAATGTAATGCTGAAATATATATGTATATAATATGGGAAAATGTATATATGTACATGTGTGTGCGCGTGTGTGTATGTACACGTGTATATATATATATTCTTTATTTTCCCTGTTTATCTTTCGTTTTAGATTTATTATGTTACTCTCTCCAATTATTTAAAATCTCCTGCAATCGTATAATATGTACGAGGGTAAATCAATAAGTAGGTACTCGTGTTTGAAGACAGTTGCTGATGCAAGTTGGCAATACCATCGTATACAACCATCTTTCAAACGATGTCATACAAAATTTCAGATTCATAAGAATAGCACACTTAAAGATTTAACTGTTACTCACCGATACAATGCACAACAATGTCACAAGTGTGTTGACCTGTAACATATAAATATATAATCCAAATTAGAACTCAGCTTCAAGGAATTAATATTTCAAAAAGTAATCTAACTGTGTTCATATAAAATAACTGTAAACAATTTCGCAACAAATTAAGTAATCGTATAATATTCAGATAATTTACATTATTAGGTTATATACTCATACATTTATACATATGCTGATTTGTAATATATAAATGCACGATCCAAATTAAAGCACAGTTCAAAGTAATTAATATTTCAAAAAATAATAGGTAAATCTCCAGATCAGGGGATCCTTCCTCAATGATCTTGAACTTGACATATGTTGTCAATGGGTCAATATGTGGGTCATGACTCTGAGTAATCTCCAACAAATTTTAGTCGTCGCTCGTTCTTCGTTAAAAAGTTATTAACAATCAAAGTTGCTAATTATTTCCCGGCTTTGTATCAAAAGTTGAATGACCCTAGGCAGGTGAGAGGTTTAAGGTGGATCGACTAGAAAAGTATAACTTTCTACGTGAGGCAAGGTCTATTCCACCATCATCCCTCCTCCCGCCGAAAAGATAATAAAGTGTACCTTCCAACAAGCAACACAATACAGTAATCATCTCATCCTTATTTAACTATTGGCGAACAAAGATGTACTGTGTCACACCTTGTCATCTGTGTCGTTTGTTGAAAGGCAAAAATTACCTTCATAACTTGAATGATAGAAGAAATGGTAATAAAAAGATAATCGATGTATGTGTTTGTGAAATGAAACATGTACATCGGTTTTGACGCAAAGCGACTTTCACTCCTCTCTAATCTAACGAAATGTGCATATTATTGATGAGCGTTTGATCTGTCTCTCGATACGATTGTATATAATTACTGTAGTTTGATACTATTATTAATCGCGAGAATTAATGGCATCAGCTGATAGCCTCTCATCATTAACGAATGATTGCATCTAACATACTTGTAATATCTGTCGCAATTGTGTATTACTTGTCTCAAGGGAGAATGATACGATAACTAGACAACGTGCCGCTGTATATCAAATCTTACTGTGCGAATGAAAACAATGTTTTCCGCGCGAAAGTAAACGTTTCAAGGTAACAAACGGTATACGGTGTGCAAAAACGAACGCCAAGCACAATATATTAAATTACTCTACACAAAACACTTACATGATATTGAATATTATGCATACATTCCAAAATGATCATTAAGTTATTGACTATCATTTGTATCTCTCTAATATCGACAGTAGGAGTTATTATTGTAAATATAACATTTGCTCAAAGAATAAAATTTCCTTATATTTTTAAAATAAATTTCTATCTATGATCTTAATGTATTTATATAAGCGATCCTGTTATAATAAAATTTATTTTGTTCAGAAAAGTATTTACTGAAGATAATTTATAAAATATCTGTTTTAGCTTGCTGTGTGTGTGTTCTATTATTTGAATTTTAATCATCGGAATAGTTTACTTTACTTTAGTATTTTTTTAATAATTTTATAAATTTTCTTATTGTAATTCAATTTTTATGAAATGAAAAAAATTATATCTTAAATAACAATTTCAATATGTCATAAGTTTCTGTACAATATTATTTAACTATTGATCGACTTTGATCAATTATAAAAATTTAAATAAAGTGGCATTTCTTCTCCCCTCTTGTGCCATCTTCCCCTAAATTATCTTAAAAATAAAAATACAAAAATAATCTTTAAAACAGGCTGTTAAAATATTAAAATACGAGTATGCAGTGAAAATCCGGATACATTTAAAAATTATTTTATATAATGTAACACTGAGGAAAAGATATTTAAAAATTTATTTGTGAGAAATATATATTTTTCACTTAAATACGCGTAAATCTTTATTTAAATACAGCGAAATAAAATTTTATTTCTAACAAATGAACTACCTATTTATTTTTTTTTACAATTAATGAGATATATTTAACAGAAAAATGTATATTTTGTTATCAAAATCAATTTTTTATAAATAATAAATAACGGAGAAAACTTTCATAACATATTTGTTTTGCAATACATTGACATTTTTCTCTGACATTAATCAATCTTTTATAAAATTTGGTTATATTAAAAAATTAATTACTATACGGAAAGAAAAATGTTTGAAGTACTTAGGAGTTTAACTTAATACAGATCTGAAAATATAATTCTATTAGATTATCAAAATAATTATAGAGCACGTTTAAACTCTGCAATAGAGAGAGAGAAGTTACAAAATATAGTTTACAAAATATTTTGTAGCATTGCTCATGTTTCTTACATAATTATTTTGATGGTTTAACAGAATTATTTTCAAATTTATATCTTATCATTTCAGATGCTTCAGTAAATTTTCCTTTTATTTTTATTAAACAATTTCAATACAATAATAATTATAATAAAAGAGAACTATAAATTATCCAAGTGTTTATCTAGATAACCAAATTACGAAATACAAAGTCAAGACAAGTCGAGATCACTGTGTTGACCCACTACGCTTACAAAATATTAAAAGGAGATGATATCGAATTAAAAAGTGGTGAATTCAGCAACCTGAACAGCAGCCAGGAGGCTACGAGCAAGCGCAGGCATCTTAATAATCCTCGCTGTTCCGCTTTCATCCCTGAAATCTTCCCGGGTGGCGTCGCGGTATTTCTATTGTGTATTACCGTGCACGGTTCTCGCTTTCTCACTCAGTGTTGGTCGCGCGCGTTCCGCGTAATATCCAGACGCCCTTTAGCGAAATAGCGATATGCTTTATGGTGGCCCGTAACATTTATCGCGGCCCGAGCCAAAGAGCAAAAGAGCGCGAGTAAATTAAAGGGGGGAGGATAGAAGAGAGACAAGAGTGAGACAGGGACGAAAGAGAGGCGGGTTATGTCCTCGTAACTCGACATAACTGCACGCCGACGTTATACGTATGCTAAACTAGAAAACGAGATGGAGAGACAAAGAGAGGGGGGGGGGGGGGGGGGGAGAAGAGAGAGAGAGAGAGAGAGAGAGAGAAAACACCGACGAGCTAACTCCCCTTCATCTCCACGTTTCCACCCTTCGTCCCGCAAAACTTCACCCTAGCCTAGGGTTGGAGCGTTGAATTTCATTTCGCTCCTATGGACATCGCGCAGTTTTTAGTTGAAACTTTCAAAATGTCTGCTAGGTCATACCATACAGCGGGAAAGTAAATGGTGATCTCGCCAATCGAGGCGAATAAAGAGACAATATTTTCTGTTAAACTTTCCGATGTGGAGCAGAATTTCATTTATGTGCAGCCCTTTTCATAGAAATAATTTTGAAATACGCAAGGAATGATTTCAAAATATATTGCAGCTTGAAACAGCTGACAACGATTTATTTGTTTTCGATAAAAGCCATCTATTTTTAACGGTGAGACTCGTTACAGAACTAATTGTTTAGGAAAGTAGTACAATCAATCTGCCGATAGTAAAGCGCATAATTCGTTTGTTGACTCGTCCCACGCGTTTATATCACCCGTAAATGCAATCATCAACCCCCGACTCGATGGAATGTTTTGTTGCCGAGCGATTACAGCGTTCGCCGAAGCGTGTTCCACGGCGACGAGCGCGAGCCGAGTTGTGCCCCGTTATCCAGCAGGGGTGTTATAAAATTTATCCTGACCAACAGCTGTCGAGTCACCTGTTCAAACAGCCGTGTTACGTGGCCCGAAGCTATCACTAGCCCATGTCGACCCGGCCAGGTGAGAACGATCCAGCGTCGTTATGCACTTTGATAATCTCGAGTTACGAAGACTCAAAGCTCTTTACATTCATAACACACACTCGAACACAAAAGATTTATATTCATAGATCCATAAATGTCTCTTAGAATATTAGAACGTTTCTTAAAGATGGTAACGTATGTATCTCTATTGATTGTATTGTATAATTGACACAAAAAATGATTAGGATGCTCTTAAGTTTTTGTCTTAATATGATAAGCAAACTTTCAAAATACGTTTAAAATTATATTTTTTTAATTAAAGATGGCCTAGTGTTCATAATTTTTTGAGATGCTTTTTAATTAACATAAATTAAATAGGTCTTACAGATTTAGTGTCAGTAATTGTGTTACAAATTTTGTAATATCTATAATACATATATATATATTTTTTTTACTTTTCTGTTAATTTTGTAACCAAGTACTATTTCTTAAACAAAACCAATTTTTATATCCATTTTTATGCACGACCATATTACACCTGTTTCTTTTCGAGCCATTATATGCAGTATCTCCGTATTTTTATAAATAGCATTCGAAATAATAAATGTTACATAACTTTGAGTTTAAAGTACGTCTAACATGGATTGAACAACATGTTCACAAATGTAATTGTTAAATTTGATATATAAATTCAAATATTGATTATTTTTTTAAACCAAATTATTGTGCAAAATGTAAATAGGGTGCCACAGTACCATCTTCTCCTCTATTTATAACTTTATAAATATAATAACACATTTATAAGGCTATAAAATTCAGAGTCAAAACGTTTGCAGTTAACTTTGTTAGCAAGTATATTTCAATTAATTACGACTCATATTTTATCGCCCTATAAATGTATTATACGTATTTACGTACTCTAACAATTATTTAGATTTTTATAGGCAACTTATAATACTTATATTTCATTTCTTCTTGAAGCCATAAAGCTCCTTTTATTTTGATTTTAAAATCATTTTAGTATTCCAATGCCGTAAACGCTAAATGCGCCAATATATTAAATGTCGATATGTGGTATGATTTTTCGTTTTAAATTTCAATCGTGACGTCCAGCGAAAAGATACATTTACTCGTATCTTACACGCGTTTGCCCTCCGGAATAATTTGCAAAACACTCACGTACAGATAATAATAGGTAGCGCGGCGATATCAAATTGGGCGATTTATCCATAAAGTCAACGATTGAGTGGAAAGGATTAATATGTATTCTCAGCGATCTTCATTGTGAAAATCTGATGTGTGTTGATGTAACACGTCGTGGCGGCGGT